GGTCTTGCAGCTCACAAACCTAAGGATTTAATCCTATCTGCCTGCCTTTATCAAGGTGATAGTCACAGACTCAACCAATGACATTGATTTAAAGTGAATGAGATTTAGGGTGGTTTGTTGTGCAGCTCACATAGGCATTCAGACATTGAGTTCCTTCCAACTCTTGGTCAGAGACACCAGCTTGAGGAAGCCCAGGGCTAGAAGCAGGCCAAACTAACTCTATCCCACAGCTCCTCGCCAGCATGTACACTCCAAACAAAACAGAGTGCAAGCACATTCTAACAAATATCTGCCAATGGACAAGAATCAGGTTTTGCCAAAAACAGGTTGGAAAGGGCTCCATTAACACTGTCCCTGCTTCTCGATAGCTGATGTATAACCACTACATTTGCTCTTTGGAGATGATTTTTTTTTTAATTTTATTTGACAGGCAGAGTGGACAGTGAGAGAGAGACAGAGAGAAAGGTCTTCCTTTTGCCGTTGGTTTACCCTCCAATGGCCGCCGCGGCCAGCGCACCGCGCTGATCCAAAGGCAGGAGCCAGGTGCTTCTCCTGGTCTCCCCTGCAGGTGCAGGGCCCAAGCACTTGGGCCATCCTCCACTGTACTCCCTGGCCACAGCAGAAAGCTGGCCTGGAAGAGGGGCAACCGGGACAGAATCCAGCGCCCTGACTGGGACTAGAACCCGGTGTGCCGGCGCCGCAAGGCGGAGGATTAGCCTAGTGAGCCGCGGCACCGGCTGGAGATGATGTGTTAAAGACACACAATTACCCTTAGATTTTGGGACCTCAGCAGCTTGGTCTCTCTCCCTCTACCAGTCCCTGAGCTTCTCTGTCATCTTCTGTTTCCATTGTTGTGTCCAGTCTCGTAAATTCTCATCAACACCAGCACGCTGACCAGACTCAGCAGTTTCCCTTCAACAATCTGCTTACCTAAGGTTCTGTGATAGCCAAGACGGAGGGAGAGGGTAGAAAAGCATGCCCGTGCCTTCTCCACCTTGGCTCACAGCTGGTCCCGTTACTTCTGCTCACTTTCCATTGTTGAGAACGCCTCCATCACAGCCAACTGCACAGAGGGCAGAGAGACAGGATCTGCAGGTTCGCAGCCGCATCCCCCGCCCAGAACGAGGCGAGGGATTTTGCTGGAGGTCTGTCAGCCATTTCTGCCACTGAGCCAGGTCTGGGGTGCAAAGACCTGCAGTTTTGCAAGTCCCCCAGGAGACTTTAATGAAGGTGGTCCAAGTGTTAACAGGGAAAAATGTGAGTTTGGGAGTCAGCTGGATCTGAGTTTAAAACTAAATCCTATCATTACCAGCTGGGTGACACCTCTGAGTTTCCATTTCTTTGTGTATATAAAAATGCAGAAAATAGTAATTCCTGCCTCGGGGGGCTTGTGTGGTTTGGTGATGGCCTGCGTGAAAAGCGCTAGCACAGAACTTGGTATGAAATAGAGTGTTTTTAAAAAGGCAGCGTGTGTGTGTGTCGGGGGTGGGGGGACAGGCATTTGGTGCAGTGGTTAAGTGCCACTTGGACTCCCGTATCCCATGCTGGAGTGCCTGGGTTGAGTTCTGCCTCTCGTTTCCAGTCTAGCTTCCTGGGAAGCAGCAGGTGATGCTTCATGTACTTGGGTCCTTGCCACCCACTAGGGAGACCCATGTTGCTCCCCGTCTTCGTGGAGGAACGACACAGGACCCTGCGCTGTTCTTTTGTCTGCTCGGCCCTCCCCGGGTTTGCTGCTGGTTCTTCCCGGGTTGGCTACCGGTTCCCCCTGCCACTTTCCCCACTTCCCCGGGGGAGCGGCACACCGCCGGCCGGCTCTCTCGGGGGCTGCACAGATGTTCCTTCAGATAGATGTTCCCGGTGCATGTTGTCTCTCTCCTCCTTTATAGTCCTCTTCCACCAATCCCAACTCTGCTACCCACATGCCGAGTACGCTGCTCTCCTCCAATCAGGAGCAGGTCCTGCTGTTTATTGGTTGAACTGGAGGCAGCTGTGTAGAAGCTGTTTCCTCCTCTCCCAGCGCCATATTGTGGGAGAGCAGATGCATAGAATAAGTCTTAATTCCAGTAACTTAGTCTAGTCCGAGTTGCTCCCAGTTGCTCCCCACAGACCCAGATTGACTTGCTGGCTCCTGCCTTCAGCCTGGCCCAGCCCTGGCTCTTACAGAACCAGCAGATAGAAGATATCTTTCTCCTATCCTCATTCTCTCCCTCTCTCACTCTCGCTCTCTTTCGTTCTCGCGCTCTCTCTCCCTTCCCGCCTCCCTCCCTCCTTGTCTCTCTGCCTTTCAAGTAAAATGAAAATAAGCAAATTTTTTAAAAAAGGATAGAAGTAGGGGCCAGCGCCGTGGCTCACCTGGTTAATCCTCCTCCTACGGCACCGGCATCCCATATGGGCACCGGGTTCTAGTCCCAGTTGCTCCTCTTCCAGTCCAGCTCTCTGCTGTGGCCCCGGAGGGCAGTGGAAGATGGCCCAAGTGCTTGGGCCCCTGCACCCGCGTGGGAGACCGGGAGGAAGCGCCTGGTTCCTGGCTTCGGATTGGTGCAGCACTGTCCGTAGCAGCCATTTGGGGAGTGAACCAACGGAAGGAAGACCTTTCTGTCTCTTTCTCTCTCACTGTCTATAACTCTGTCAAATAAATAAAAGAAAAAAAAAGGATAGAAGTAAAAATTAAGATGTTATTATTGATTGATACAATGGTCCCAGTCTATCTTTTAAAACAACTTATTGTACTTAAAGTATCTCACATCATGCTCAGAGTTATGCCCATTTCACAGATGAGAAAACTGGTTCAGAGAGGTTAAGTAAGAGGACCAAACACTCCACTGTTAAGTGCTGGTGTCGAACTTTGAGCCACAGGGCTGGTGTTGTGGCTCAGTGGATTACTCTGTATCAGAGTGCTGGTTCTAGTCCTAGCTGTTCTGCTTCAGTTCCCACTCCCTGATAAAGCACCTGAGAAAGCAGAAGATGATGGCCCAAGTGCTTGGGCCCCTGCCACCCACATGGGAGACCTTGATAGAATTCCCAGCTCCTGGCTTTAGTCTGTCTCAGACCTGGCTGTTGTCGCCATTTGGGGAGTGAACTAGCAGATGGAAGACCTCTCTCTATCTCTCCCTTTCTTTCTCTCTGTCACTCTGCTTTATAAACAAACAATTTTTTTAAAAAAATTGATCCAGGATCTGTTTCTGCTGGTATTTTATTAGAAATGCTGCATTAAAATAATAAAGGAGGGGCTGTCTGTGGTTTTTGGGTAAGGAAGTACCCTCTGAGAACTTCTCTATAGAAGATGAACCTTGGAGCGCTGTTGTTAGAGGAGTCCAGCAGAGGGAACCTGGAGGCAGGCTGACCGGGTCAGGGATGGGACGAGAAGGCTCTGAACCAGGGTTGAGTGAAGTGAAGGTGGAGCCCAGGCTGGCTTCTTCCTTCGGAGTTGCTTCCCCAGAAGGAGGCAAACATAGAAACAGAGAGCGGTCCTCTCTTCTCTCAAGGATACCCCTGCAAAGCTGCCCAGTCCACACTTCTGCTCAGGTTGGATGTGGCTTATAATCTTCAACACTGGTTTCAGACCACAGAAAGCAGCTTTTCTGTGGTGTACCCATTCGGAAACTGGGAATGGCAGTGCCAGCTCTGGCTATCTCATAGAGGTTCAACAGGGAAAGACGTAGGAATATAATTCTCAAAGCTGTCATCATCGGCCCGATGTGAAGGTTTAACTGAGCAAAACAAGACAGCAGGAAGCACTCACTGAAACTTCAATTTCATGATTGATTCTTTGTGTCTTAATTTTGCAAATTAAAAATTTCAGATATTAAAGTATGGGGTGGCAGGGAGAGAGATTAAAAGATAGATTCTCTTGCGTTGTTGTTTCCATGGTGACCGGCTTCCAGGCCTCAGCCCCTGGCTGACACACAGATAAATGAGAACAAGATGGCAAAGTGCTTTACACAGTGCCTTGCACGCAGAAAGCAGTCGCCAACGAGGAAGTCAGAGCCACTGGCCCCATCAGAGCAGAGTCTCGGGAAGAGCACCCTGGCTGATCCCCTTCTCCCCGGGAGTGCTCCAGTCGGCTCAGCTGTCTGAGATGCGGAGTGTTCCTAGGGCAGTATCACATAGCACCCCACACATGTCCATTTGTAAGATGCACATTGTGCTTGTTAAAAATAAAAGTCAAATATTTAAAAATGTTTGCCAGGCAGTGAAGCTGTGGGGGCTGGGATTAGATAAGGAGTTCAGTTGTGGACCTTCTTGTGCTGAACCAACTTCACAGTGGGGCTTCACTGGGCCCAGAGCTTCTTTGTGTTAGATTTTTTTTAATGATATTTATTTATTTAATTTATTTATTTTAAAGATTTATTTATTTACTTGAAAGTCAGAGTTACACAAAGAAATAAGGAGAGGCGGAGAGAGAGAGGGTCTTCCATCTGCTTGTTCACTCCCCAGATGGCCACAATGGCCGGAGCTTCGCCGATCCGAAGCCAGGAGCCAGGAGCTTCTTGCGGGTCTCCCATGCAGGTGCAGGGGCCCAGGCAGTTGGGCCATCTTCCACTGCTTTTCCAGGCCATAGCAGGGAGCTGGATTGGAAGTGGAGCGGCCGGGTCTTGAACCAGCACCCATATGGGTTGCCGGCGCTGCAGGTGGCGGCTTTACCTGCTACGCCACAGCGTTGGACCTGATATTTATTTATTTATTTATTTTAAAGCATGCATGCAAGATCTTCCATTTGCTGGTTGACTCCCCAAATGGCTGTAACAGCCAGATCTGGATTAGGCCAAAGCCAGAAGCCAGGAACTCCATCCTGGTCTCCCAAATGGGGTGCAGGGGCCCAACCACTTGAGCTGTCTTCCACTGCCTTCCCAGGAGCATTAACAGGGAGCTGGATTGGAAGCAGAACAGCCAAGACTCAAACCAGCATTCCCATATGGGATGATGGCAATGCAAGTGGTGGCTTAGCCTGTTGAACCACAATGCTGGCCCCTGTGTCTGGTTTGACACATCCTTGCCTGCTTTGAGCTCAGGATATCCTCCTCCGTGTTTCCTTTCATATTTAGATCTACAATCTGTCTGGAATTGATTGTTGTGTTTCATGTGAGGCAGAGTCCAACATCTCGATGGTTCCATGTGGATGGCTGGTCGGAAAAGTCATTGCTCCCCCTTGCTCTCTAGTGATGCCTGTGCTGTGGATCAGGCATCGTTATGCCCACGTGTGTGGGTTTGCCTCTGGGCTCCCTGTGGTGTCCCCGTGGCCTGTGTGTCTTTCCTGTATAAAGCATGCCCCCTTAATTACTCTGGCTTTGTGAATAACTCCTGATACCCAGTTGTGAAAAGTACCTGACTTTGTTCTTCTTTGTGTTAGTCTTGGCTCTTTGGTTCTCCATGTTAGATATTTTAGATTTATCTTGTAAATTTCCACCGAAACAAAAACTTGATGGGACTTTGATTGTGATTACAATGCCTAGATCAGTTTTTGTTTTTGTTTGTTTCTTTTCCTGGGCAACAACCCTATGGAGTAGATTCCGTTGTTTACCTCTGTGACAGATGCACTTCTTTGTAGCTGGGACACAGGGAATGATGTAAGCAGCTTAATCTGTCACCCTCAATGCCAGCATCCCACATCAGTGATCCAGTTCGAGTTCCAGCCCCACCTACTTTGATTCTCCTAAGAAAGACTTCAGCTTGAGAGTGGGTGACGCAGGTAGGCAAGTACCGTGGCCTCTGTGTGTTGGCCCCAAAATGGCCCTCTTGTGTTGGCCCTCAGTGGTTTATTTCTTGGCTACAGACAAAGACCTGCTAGGTCAAAAGCCCAAGGAACCAAATTCACTTTTCCCCACTTCCAGTTGTTTAAAAAAATAACTGCCCAAACCAACAGATGTTTAGTCTCTTAGAGCCTATACTGGGAAAATTCAGCTACAACCTCCTGCTAGACAGGGCCTTGAGGTCTAAGGCTCCAAATCACTGCTGCCCATTGAACTTTCTCAGAGACCCCTGGTGTGCCTCTGTGCACCGTCATCTGGACTGCGGAGCCCCCCATGACTGATCCCACTCTCCCAGGAGTTCCCTCACCCTCTTTCCCTCTGGCTCACGGCCCCTGGGCAGTCAGCTGTGGATGGCCTCATGCTGGGAGGAGTTTCCTTCTTAGACAGTGCTCCCACCTCTGGTTCTATCTTTTCCTTTCATCAGCCCTGCAGGGTGGTGTCTGAAGCAGATAAATGGAGCTGTGACTTAGCTGCTGAAGTGCTGTACTTCAGGTTTCCTTCCTGACCTTGTCTTTGACCCTTCATGGAGATACTGGGAACTTCTTGCTACCATTTTTCAAATGTTCTTTTAAATTCAAACTTAGTAGAGGTGCTTTGATTATTGAAACAAAGGATACTCATACATAGTTGCTGTTATTATTAGCTTACACCTCCCCCGTTCTGTTTAGAGCTGTCCACCAGCCCAGACTTTCAGAAAACCAAATCTTGCCCATTCTACACCTGCAAGACACCTGCTCATCTGGAGCCAAGGATTAGACAAAGAGCAATTAGGACTTCATTGTGAAGCTGGATGGGAATGAATGGTGTCTCAGTAACCCCGAGTTAGGAATGACTCCCTGGGTCAGGAGCCCTCTGACTACCCTCTGTTAGGCGATTGTTTCCAGACACCATGCAGAAGGATCCAGCATGCTGCTTGTTAAAGGATCAATAAATCATGCTGTGGATGTGAGAAAATAGCAAGACCTTAGCCAAAATGGCATCCTAGTCTGAGGTACCATTAGTAATGCCGTAATTTGCAATCATAATAAAAATAAAAGTAATAGGAAAACCACGTAGAGGCAGTTCCACTGCCTACTGGATTTTTAATTTTCTTGAGGATGCCAGAGGCAATCTTGAGCCCATTATGTCTAAATGAGGCACATTATAAAAGGCTTGCAAAGTCCAGACTGCTTTTATAGCCATTAATTAGCCAGACTTCTAAATAGGCCCATAAGACTAAGCGTGGGTACGTCTCTGGACTCCATTGGGGGCTGGAGTGCTCAGAGAAGTCAAGTATCAGCTGTTTAGTTGTGATTGTTCCGCCCTTCTCTCTCATCCTGCTTCTAATCAGATGTCGCCTTTTTGAGGAGTGAACGAGGGAGGATGCTACCAGACCAAGCCCCTAATGAGAATGCTTCGAACGTCCCTCCAAGGGTGTGGGTGTGCATGCAAGCTGACCCTGTGCCCTAAGTGTCCTCTCATCAGGTATCGTGCATATTGTAAATTAATACACTAACAGTCTGTATTCATGAGCCTTGTAAACATGGCCAATGTACGTTCACAATTGAGGATTTGAATTCCGCATGGTCAAGTTCTGTCCCTGGACCATAAAGCACCTGCTGTGTATCCTGCATGGGTTGAAATGCTGGGTGTTGATATTTGAGCAGAGGCCTAAGGGGGTTATTCATGTGCCCAGGAGGAGCACAGCCCATCTGTTTTTAAAGCTTTATAGTAGCCCCACAGGTGTGTGTTCTATTATTATTCTTTAGACTTACACATGTTTTGTCAATATTCTTTTTCATCTCTTCAATATTTTTTAAAGATTTTATTTATTTGAGAGGTACAGTTACAGACAGTGAGAGGGAGAGACAGAGAGAAAGGTCTTCCATCTACTGGTTCACTCTCCAAATGGTTGCAATGGCCGGAGCTGGGCTGATCTGAAGCCAGGAGCCAGGAGCTTCTTCCAGGTCCCCCACGTGGGTTCAGGGGCCGAAGTGCTTGGGCCATCTTCTGCTTTCCCGGGCCATCTCAGAGAGCTGGATGGGAAGAGGAGCAGCTGGGACTAGAACCAGTGCCCATATGGGATGCTGACACCACAGGCAGAGGATTAACCTACTGCGCCAAAGCACCATCCCCCTCTCTTCAATATTTTAAAAATGATTTAAAGCAAACTATTGCAGTCAGGGTGAATATCAAGTGCAAAGATCTTGAAGCCAAACCTGGGTTGGCAGACTGGAGGATGACCAAGGAAGCCGTGTTGTAGGAAAGTTGAGAGACAGAGGTAGAAGAGGAGGTGAGAGAGGAGTGGTCAGCAGGGCCCAGGTCCTGTGGGACACCATAGGCTCGGGTGAGGATCTAGCTCTGGTATGGTGGGAGTCACCAGGGACTTCTGAGTGGAGGAGGGGCACGATCTGCAGATTTTTGAACAGGACCCCTCTGATGGCTGTGCAGAATAGACTGAGAAGCAGAGAGAGGCAGGGAGGCCGTGAGGAGGTCACTGCAGCAGCCTGGGTGGAGGTGATGGAGGAGCGGAACGGTGATCGCAGTGGTCGTGACGTGGTCAGATTCTAGCTCTCCTTTCTGAGTGGAGCTAGCGTGACACTCTGATGGCTTGGCCCTGGAGAGAGAGAAGAAGAGACCTGGCCAGCAGACTATTATAGGATGCATTGCGCTGAAGTGGTAGCCCTCAGCACCCCAGCATGTGACCTGTTTGGAAATAGGACCCTTTTCGAGGTCATTGGTTAAGGAGAGGTTGTGCACATGACTCTGTGAGCAGACAGCCAAGTGCAGACTCCTGATTACGGAGGAACAGCAGGTGAAGATGGAACAGGCTCTAGAGTGTTGCATCTGCAAACCAGAAACTCAGAAGGAACCAGTCCTGTGGACCTTGTGATTTCAGACAGCTGGGCCCCAGAACTGAGACAGTGTCTGCTATTTGCGGTACTTCACTATAGCAGCTTTAGGGAAGTAATAACTTGCTTTCAAGGTTTGGGCCTCAGCAGTTGGAAAAATATGGTTGTTGTTGAATGAAATGAGAAACGCTGGACGGGTTCTGTAGAGATGTTGAATGGGTGGGGTCTGGATTTAGCAGGCATATTGGGCTTATTTCTATAGAACAGCGTCTCCCAGGCTTGATATTACCTACAGGTGTGGGTAGATAACTCTTTGTCATGTGAGTCTGCGCTATACATTGCACCATGTGTAGCAGCATCCCTGGTCCCTATTAAGCAGATGCCAGTGACACCAGCACAACTAAATGACTCTATAAAATCATTCCAGTAGAAATCTCTTCAGCCAATGACCAATGTCCTTTAGCAGGTATCTGTCTGGGCCATTGTAACAGAATGCCTTAAACTGGGTAATTTTTTTTAAAGACAGAGATACAGAGAGAGGTAGAGACAGAGAGGAGAGAGAGAGAGAGAGATCTTCCATGCGCTGTTTCACTCCCAGATGGCTGCAACGGTCAGAGCTGCACTAATCTGAAACCAGGAGCCAGGAGCTTCTTCTGGGTCTCCCACATGGGTGCAGGGGCCCAAGGATTTGGCCATCTTCTACTGCTTTCCCAGGCCACAGCAGAAAGCTGGATTGGAAGAGGAGCAGCCGGGACTAGAACCGGCACCCATATGGATGCCAACGCTTCAGGCCAGGGCATTAACCCACTGCACCACAGCGCTGGCCCCTAGACTGGGTAATTTATAAATGGAAATTTATTCCCCAAAGTTCTGGATGCTAAGAAGTGCAAGATCAATACAGAGTTGGTGACTGGTGGCCATTAACAGACTGCTCCCCCCCATCCCCCACCCAGTGGTAGAGGAAAAGGAATCCTGGACTCTCAGGGTCAGCCAGGGGAGCCTTTGATCCACACTGCTTAGTGGTGAAATCTCAGACAGGTGGGTGACTTCCTCTGGTTTCTACGTCCTCACCTGTGCAGTGGAGATGAGGGTTGTGGGGAGCAACCAAGACTAGACTAAATTACTGGAACTGCTAGGACTAATTCTGTGCATCTGATCTCCCACCATATGGTGCTGAGAGAGAGTAAACAACTTCCACACAGCTGCCTCACCAATTCAACTAACAAGCTGCAGGAGCTGATCCTGCTCCTGATTGGAGGAGAGCAGTGTGCTCAGCGCGTGGGGAGAGAATGCCAGCAGAGTTGGGATTGGTGGAAGAGGACTATAAAGGAGGAGAGAGACAACATGCAGGAGAAACATCTGAGGAACCCCTGAGAGAGCTGGCCGGCGGTGTGCCGCTCCTCCGCGGAAGCGGAGAAAGCGGTGGGGGTGCTGCCCTTCTGCAGAGGCCGGAGGGCTGGCAGCAAACCCGGGAAGGGCCGGGGAAAGAGAACAGCGCAGGGTCCGGTGTCGTTCCTCCGCGAGTGGGGGAGCGACAAGGGTGAACCTCAGGTTGGTCATGAAGATTGAATGGGGGCCGGCGCCGCGGCTCACTAGGCTAATCCTCTGCCTTAAGGTGCCGGCACACCGGGTTCTAGTCCCGGTCAGGGTGCCGAATTCTGTCCTGGTTGCCCCTCTTCCAGGCCAGCTCTCTGCTGTGGCCCAGGAGTGCAGTGGAGGATGGCCCAAGTGCTTGGGCCCTGCACCCCATGGGAGACCAGGAGAAGCACCTGGCTCCTGCCATCGGATCAGCGTGGTGCGCCGGCCGCAACACACCAGCCGCGGTGGCCATTGGAGGGTGAACCAATGGCAAAGGAAGACCTTTCTCTCTGTCTCTCTCTCTCTCTCACTGTCCACTCTGCCTGTCAAAAAAAAAAAAAAAAAAAAAAGATTGAATGGGACAGTGTAAGCAGGTGTGGACTATAGATTGCTGCATACATGGAAACTACTGGACATTTCCTGCCTGGTTCATTTCATTTATCCCTGAAACTAATTTAGGGAGGCTCTTTTGAATAACTCAGTTTTTAAAAATTACTGTTTTTTATGTACATAAATAATATGTGACTATTTTCTCCTTTTAAGAAAGCATGACAGGGCCGGCATTGCGGTTCAGTAGGTGAAGCTGCATCCCGCGACAACTGTATCCCGTATTGGAGTGCCGGTGTGAGTCCCTGATGCTCCGTTTAAGGCCCAGCTTCCTGCCCTTATGCCTGGGAAAGCAGATGGCCAAAGTCCTTGGGCCCCTGCCACCCACATGGGAGACCCTGATGCAGCTCCAGACTCCTGGCTTCAAGCTGGCCCAGCACTGACTGTTGAGGCCATTTGGGGAGTGAATGAGAAAATAGAAGAGCTCTCTCTGTCTGTCCCCCTCTATCTGTCTCTTGTCTCTGTCTCTCTCTCTCTGTGTCTGTCTCTCTCTCTCTCTGTCTGTCTCTCTCTCTGTTTCTTTGCCTTCCAAATATTTTTTTTTCTTTTTTTGGACAGGCAGAGTGGATAGTGAGAAAGAGAGACAGAGAGAAAGGTCTTCCTTTGCCGTTGGTTCACCCTCCAATGGCTGCCACAGCCGGCACGCTGCAGCCGGCGCACCGCGCTGATCCGAAGGCAGGAGCCAGGTGCTTCTCCTGGTCTCCCATGGGGTGCAGGGCCCAAGCACTTGGGCCATCCTCCACTGCACTCCCTGGCCACAGCAGAGAGCTGGCCTGGAAGAGGGGCAACCAGGACAGAATCCGGTACCCCGACCGGGACTAGAACCCAGTGTGCCGGCGCTGCAAGGTGGAGGATTAGCCTAGTGAGCCGCGGCACCAGCCCCAAAGATTTTTTAAGTAAAAAGATTAAAAAAAAAAAAAAACAGCAAGCACATTACAAACAAAGCTAGATTTTTCTTTGTATACCCTCTCAATCTCTTTCCTTTTCTTCCTTCCTTGCCCTGGAGTACATCCTTTTACGTCTTTCTCTGTGTTGTCAATAGAAAATGTGTAGTTTTATTTTGTAACTATGCATATATTCAAACATAAATCATCTCATATTGTATATGTTATCTTGAAACTTCTCTCTCTCTCTTTTTTGTTTTAATAAAAAGGGGGAACGTATACTGTTAAAAACCTTGAAGAGTAATATGGCTTTTAGAGCCACCCTAACCTTAGTTTGAATGCCCTGTAGTACTTGCATGATCCTGGGTGAGTTATTTAACATCTCGATGTCTCAGTTGCCTTGTCATATACTCAGAGAAGCTCTGGAAGAACTGTTTTAAGGATTAAACGGTTTAATGTATGTAGACAAGTGTCTAGAACATTCAGAGCCCTGAACAGGTGTGCATGGGTATTACTGTCCGTTCAGGGCTCTGACTGTACCTCCACAGTGGGATTAGATCATGCCCCACATTTTAGCTATTCTGAGCAGGTTAGTGTTGAAAATCGTCATGCGTCCCACACCGTCCACAGCCACCTGCATTTTTCTACAGGATGTGTGCCAGGGGAAGATGTCTCTGTATCCTAGGGCACATGCGTTTTTTTTTTAGTTCTAATAAATACTGCCAAACAGCTCTCCAAAGGGGCTGAGCCGAGCTGCACTCTTCTTGGAGAGCGTGATGATCAA